CTGAAAGCAGCAAAAAGCTAGTTTGAAACAAAAAGTAGCAAAAGGCTAGCTAAAAGATAAAAGTAGTAAAAATCCAGCTAAAATCTGAAAGCAGTAAAAGAATACCTAAAAGTAGCACACTGCTATCTAAAAGCAGAAAATGACACGCTAACAAATAAAAGTATTAAAAGGGCAGCTAGAAAAACTGAAACAGACTTGTTAAAGACAACGTTTTTGTTTTAAATTAAACAGTATGGAGAAATATTGATTATAAATGTTATATATTTGTCATAGCTCTGCTCTCTGTCAGCTCCTCTGTCATGCTGCACACTCAGTAATCACTCAACTCATGTCACCTGTCACCGCTCATTATCCCACAGCTCCACCACCTGGTCCAGTCAGTACTTAAGCTCACTCATTCCTCTCAGTCTGGGCCAGATTCTCTATCCTGTCTCATCAGCAGTAGACTTTCCAGCATTCCATTGATTGACTCATCACGTTCATGACCCTTGCCTTGACCACGACCACGCTTTTGCCTCAGCCCTCGTCTGCTTTTGCTCATCTGATCAGGTACCGACTCATGCTCTTGTTTTTTGACTCTCTTTTTGGATCACGTACTGGATACTTCTGCTGAACAACTGACTTCACGGTATGAACTCTGCCTTTCCCTTCTGACTGTTTTTTGGATCACGGATTAAAAGTCAAGCTCATTCTGTATCACGGACTTATCCTTACCCCTGAATCTGATTCCCACAGATTCATTTCCCCAATTAGTCTTTTTCCCCCTGCATCTACTAACCTTTATCTTTTAGTTGCAAGCCTGTTGGACTCCGTTCCAGTGGACCTTAACATCAGTTCTACTTCTACTGGCAGCCCGCCACTACAACACTACCCAATCACGAACTACCAATCAGAAGATCGGAACCAGCCCAGAACCGGACCTACTCCAGAGTTTTACTTTATTTCACAATAAATCTTTTAACCCTCTCAGTGGTTGTTGTTGTTGTTTGCGATCCGGCCTCTGGTTCATGACAATATTCTGAAAAGTATAAACGTTTCCAAAGTCCCAACACACATTTCCCAGACGACAAAGATCATCCCTTATAAGTGTGCAGCTGCAGATTTAGGGATAAATCAGTTGACTGAATGAGATTCTGTGATAAGTGGACAGGTGGGTTAGGATAAGATGCCCCCAGGGTTCGGTGTCATCAGTTGCAGCACTTCAATCACGGCACATAATAAGGCTTCAGCCCTGACGGCATGCCACTGGGGGAGTCAAAGCATAATTTAATGTTCAAGAGCCTTCTTATCTGGGTACAGAAACCATGCTGCCCTTCTACATTTGATGGCAATCAAGGCTGTACAGCTTTTTCATAGAAACAATTAAATGTCCCATCTGTTACAGTCTGATACAAATGTTGTAGCGCCACCTGGTATAAAATACTAAATAGATCTTCCTGGTGTTTGATTTAATTTGCTGTGAAAATGTCTCCATTCTGATTACACCAACAATAAGTCAGTCAGCAAAAAAATACTTTAAGCCTGAGCGCACTATGCTGGTTTAGGACTGATGAACAAGGGAGAAAATGATGAAGACGACAGAGAATACTGTCACAGAAGCTACATGTAACACATCCAACATTTAGGTTTATAAAAACACCCAACACTTAACAGTGGTCCTTGAAAGTTTGCAATCCCTGTAGAATTTTCTATATTTTTGCATAAATCTGACCTAAAACATCATCAGATTTTCACACAATCCTAAAAGTAGATAAAGAGAATCCAGTTAAACAAATGAGACAAAAATATTACTTAGTCATTTATTTAGTGAGGAGAATGATCCAGTATTACATATTTGTAAGTGGCAAAAGTATGTGAACCTCTAGGATTAGCAGTTAATTTGAAGGTGAAATTAGAATCAGGTGTTTTCAATCAAGGGATGATGATCAGATGTGAGTGAGCACCCTGCTTGATTTAAAGAACAGGATCTATCAAAGTCTGCTCTTCACAACATGTTTGTGGAAGTGGATCATCGCATGAACAAAGGAGATTCCTAAGGACCTCAGAAAAGGAGTTGTTGATGCTCATCGGGCTGGAAAAGGTTAAAAAAACATATCTAAAGAGTTTGGACTTCACCAATCCACAGTCAGACAGATTGTGTACAAATGGAGGAAATTCAAGACCATTGTTACCCTCCCCAGGAGTGGTGGACCAACAAAGATCACTTCAAGAGCAAAACGTGGAATAGTTGGCGATGTCACAAAGGACCCAGGGTAACTTCTAACAACTGAAGGTCTCTCTCACATTGACTAATGTTAATGTTCATGAGTCCACCATCAGGAGAACACTGAACAACAATGGTTCATGGCAGGGTTGAACGAAGAAGCCACTGCTCTCCAAAAAGAACATTACTGCTCGTCTTCAGTTTGCTAAAGATCACGTGAACAAGGCAGAAGGCTATTGGAAGAATGTTTTATGGACAGATGAGACCAAAATAGAACTTATTGTTTTAAATGAAAAGTATCATGTTTGGAGAAAGGAAAGCATCACATTCCTGCATAAGAGCCTGATCCCATCTGTGAAACATGGTGGTGGTAGTTTTATGGTTTTGGCCTGTTTTGCTACATCTGGGCCAGGACAGCTTGCTATCATTGATGGAACAATGAATTCTGAATTATATCAGAGAATTCTAAAGGAAAATGTAGAACATCTGTCCATGAACTGAATCTGAAGAGAAGGTGGGTCATGCAGCAAAATAATGACCCTAAACACACAAGTCGTTCTACCACAGAATGGTTCAAGAAGAATAAAGTTCATGTTTTGGAATGGCCAAGTCAAAGTCCTGACCTTAATCCAATCCAGATGTTGTGGAAGGACCTGAATCAGCAGTTAATATGAGGAAATCCACCAACATCCAGTGTTGAAGTTGTTGTGATATATTAATTTATTTATTGGTTCAATGACTGGTGGATGGAAGCTTCATTGTTAAAAAAGGACAACAAACGGATCCATCAAGGTTTAATCCCAAAACTTCATTGGTACACTGCTGTTCTACTGACCTAACCACATTGTCCACGCCAGTGAAATAGCATGAATCCATTAATATTCATACCTCTAACTTAGACACACCTTAAACTATAAGCACTTTATAAAACCTGAAAAAAATATTTGCATCATAGCTTGTCTTTGTACCTTGTGTGAGAGCTTGTTGGTCAAATGCAGGCTGAGGAAGCGCCGGAGTCTCAAACTGACTGATATTCTGAGGTAAAGTGTGTTGTGTCGTCACATACGAGTCTGTTACTGCAAATACAAAGATTCAGAAAAGGTACAGTAAAATAGATCAATGTAAAATGTTTTTGTGCTTTTTGAATACCAAAGAAAAGTTAGTCAGTGGAAGGCTACCTAAAGACAAATTAAAATTGATGCTTTATTAGGGGTAAAAAAGACGAGAATGGTTTTTCAAAAGCAAATGTAACTGTTCTTACCTTCACTTTGAACCAATGGCTGGTTTGTCAAAGGGGCCTCCAGGGTTACCTGCTGGCCTCCATTTACAACTTCCACCTGGCTCAGTTCCAGTAGGCTTTGCTGCTCCACTGTGGCATCAGTAGCCTGTGGGAGGGAGTCCGTCTCCATTTCCACAGGCAATTCATGGGCCACAGCTCCTGTTCCCAAGGGGTCCTCACCTGACTGAGGTTGCAGCTGCTGGGCGAGTTCATACCTGGTTTCACAGGAGGCAGCGGGATTAAGACTCAACCCAAAAGAAGACAGGACCCAGCCGTAAAACACGACTACAAACATTGGGTAAAAAATCCAACCTGTGTGTCTTCATGTGCTTTCTACAGTTGGGGGATGACTTGAAAGTCTTCTGACAGTAGGGGCACATGTAAGGTCGGAGATCGCTGTGAGTAGTCATGTGGCGTCGCAGGCTTCCACTGGTTGTGAACGTCGTGTCACACATGACACACTTATATGCCTTCAAGCCTGAGTGGGTCCGAATGTGAGCTTTAAGGACTCCTGATGAGGCAAAACCACGACTGCACTGCACACATTTGTATGGTCTTTCTCCGGTGTGTGACCTGGAGCAAAAGGATAAAAATATTAAAGACACTAGTCTCACTGTTCTGTATGTCAAATATAAAACATGCCGTCCTTATTGTTCCCCATCGTGGAGCGAAGACGGGGAATTGGTGTCACTTCATGTTTTCTCTAATGGTATCTGGAATGTTTGTTTATCAAAGGAATCTTTTGTTTTACTGGATTTATGTATTTTTTGCACAGTTCTACATTCTAGTACACAAGCACCTTCAATACAGGTGTTTTTCTATTATTGGATTGTGCTCCTCCTTGACTCGCCATCTTATCATGGAGAAGGAGTTTGTGCGCCTGAATAATCGCAGGAGCTATGCTGTTGGGGGCAAATGTAAATGCCCCTGGTAGGGTCTCCCAAGGCCGATTGGTTCTAGATGACAGGCCAAACAAAGAGCTATTCCCAAGACTTATATGGGCAAACAGCAACAAGGAGCTCAGTGCCCCTTGCCCGGACGTGGGTTACCAGGACCCCACCTAGGAACCAGGCCTGTGGGGAGGGGCTCGTTGGCAAGCACCTGGTGACCGGGACTCTACCCATGGGGCCCGGTCGGGCTCAGCCCAAATGAGCAACATGGTTTTGCCTTCCTGTGGGCTCACCGCCTGTAGGAAGAGCCATACAAGTCGGGTGCATGACGCCATGGGCAGTGGCCGAAAGCGGGGACCTTAGCGCTCTGACCATGACTAACAAAAGCTGGCTCTTGGGACATGAAATGCAGCCACTCTTAACGGAGAAGGAGCTTGAGCTTGTGTGTGAGGTTGAGAGGTACTGACTAGATATAGTTGGGCTCACCTTGATGCATATCATGGGCTCCGGAACCAATTGCCTTGAGAGGGGCTGGGCATTATTCCACTCTACAGTTGCCCATGGTGAGGGGTGCCTAGCTGGTGTGGGTCTACTTTTAGCCCCGCGATTTGGACCCTGTGTGTTAAAGTTTTTCCCAGTGGATGAGAGGGTAGCTTCTTATGCCTTCAGGTGGGGGGACAATCACTGACTGTTGTTTGTGCCTATGCGCCAAACAACAATTCAGAATATCTGGCCTTCTTGGAGTCCTTGGCAGGGGTGCTGGAAGGTGTGCCAGCAGGCGAATCCTTTATTTTTCTCGGGGACTTCAATTCCCACATAGGTAATGAAAGTGTGACCTGGAGGGGCGTGATCAGGAGAAACGGCCTCTCTGATCTGAACTCAAGCGGTGTTCTGTTGTTGGACTTCTGTGCGAGTCAAAGTTTGTCCATCACAAACACCATGTTTGAACATAAGGGTGTAAATGGACTGTACTTATATAGTGCCTTTCTATCATATCAAGACACTCAAAGCACTTTACACTACAATCTGTGCCCTCATTTACCCATTCAAACAGCACTCTACTAGATCTATACAAAGCTAACTGAACAAATCATTCTAAAAAGACTAATCAGTGCTCACATTCATACACCGATGGGACACAAATCGGAGGCAATGAGGGGTTCAGTGTCTTGCCAAGGAACACTTCAGCATGTGACTGCTGGTGGATTCGAACCCCCAACTCTTGCATTGGAGGACGATTACTCTAACCACTCAGCCACAGCCGCCCAGGTGTCCAGAAATACACTTGGCACCAGAACACCCTAGGTCAAAAATTGATGATTGACTTTATAGCCGGGCAGCATGGTGGCGCAACTGGTAGAGCTGCTGCCTCTCAGCGAGCAGGTCCCTGGTTCAAACCCCGGTCCAGGGGCCTTTCTGGGTGGAGTTTGCATGTTCTCTCCGTGCATGCGTGGGTTTTCTCCGGGTACATCGGTTTCCTCCCACAGACCAAAAACATGCATGTTAGGCTGATTGGTAACTCTAAATTGTCCCTAGGTGTGAGTGAGAGAGTGAATGGTTGTTTGTCTCGTTTGTCTCTATGTGGCCCTGTGATGGACTGGAGACCTGTCCTGGGTGTCCCCCGCCCCTCGCACAGTGATTGCTGGACATGGGCACCAGCGACCCCCGTGACCCAAAATGGAATAAGCGGGTAAAGATTAGAGTGGATGGATGGATGGACTTTATAGCCATGTTATCCGATTTGCGGCTATTTGTTTTGGACGCTCAGGTGAAGAGAGGAGCTGAGCTGCCAACTAATGACCACCTGGTAGTGAGTTGGACCAGATGGCAGGGGAAGATGCCAGACAGACTGGGTAGACCCAAACATGTAGTGAGGGATTACTGGGAACACCTGGCAGAAGAATCTGTAAAAAAAGATCTTCAACTCACACTTCTGGGAGAGCATTAACTGCATCCCAGCTGAGGCGGAGGACATTTGAGTCCGAGTGGATCATGTTCTATGTCTCACTTGTTGAAGCAGCTGTTTTGTTGTTTTGTTTTTGGCGACTGCACTATTCCAACTTCTTTTTATGCCCAATATAAAATGTTCACCAAAAACAACCACAACAAAGACAAAAATAAAACGCATTCAAGGAGCAGATCAGCCAAACACTAAAGGCTGCTGGAGACATTAGTTAATAATGTGATGATAGCAAAGCCGAAAGAGCCTGCTAAAACACAAATGGCCCATGTTCTGTTACATATGTGACCAGAGCACTTGCAGAGTCCCCAACGGGGTCATCACCCAACATGAAAACTGGGCTCTATAGAGTTTGGGTTTTGAAAAGCCTCTGAAAGGAGTCCATCTTTGAAAAAGCCTCCTTTATTTACCCTAAATAGGCCTGGAACTGAACTTTTCTAAATAATAATATTCAGTTTGTTGTCTCTGACACTTTTACTGAAAAACTTATTCCACCACGGCTGTCAGACTGAATCATCTCCATTGACAATGTAGTGTTTGCTGTTTTGTGCTCATGATCGGAAAACAATAATAGGAAAAAACTGAAAAATAAAAACATGTTGCAAGGATGTTGTTATAATATATACAGTACCAGTAATAGTACTGATATAATAATAATATAGCATTGTGTGATATAATACCACATTCATATAACACTTGTGCATCATAAATCATTATTCAGAAGTGCCCTCCAGAGGTTTTACTGATCCTAAACACTTCATGTCTTTAATGAAATCGCTAAATAAAAAAGGTGACAAAGATAATAAAATAATATCAGATTACCAGATTAACACTGAATATGGAGGATTTAAAGATTTATCTAACAAAATCCATCCATCCACCATGAATCATTTATCCATCCATCCATTGTCAATCTATCCATCATCCATCAACTATTTATCCATCCATGATCATCAATCCATCCTCCCTCTCCATTGTCCAGGTGACAGAGAGCTGGAATGTATCTCCAGCTGTTCCTGTGTGAGACAAGAGGGACACCTTGGACCAGTCTCCAGTCACTCAAAGGGATGAATAAAGACAAAGGAGGCAAATCAGTGGTAGACTCAAGGAAATGTTCTATGTTGTCCAGCGGACAAGCTTTTGACAGAATCTGGTTGTCTTCAACCTTTACAATAAAGAAGACAAAAAAGCTAAAAAAAAAATATTAAAAAAAGTAATTTAATAACTATACTGCACTACCGGTATATATAAAGCTTACTATATACAAATGGTCTCAGTCAGCCATCTTGTGGATTGTTTGTAATTTCCAAGACTCTTTAAGGAGCTGCAGGAGTGGAACTTCCTCATTCTCCTCCTCAACCTCTTTCTCTTCATCAAACTTTTATATACATAGAGGTTACCTAAGACACACATCCCCGCACGTGCGTGCACACACACACAAACACAATATAAATAGTAGAATATATACAGTAGTCCCTTGTTTATTGAGGGGGATCCATACCCTGAAGCCCTGCGATAAGTGAAAAGCCGTGACATAGGAATAGTAGTAC